GTGTTTGGTGTCTTTTCATTGCCCCCCCCCCCCCCGGTATAGAATTAATATTGTGGGTTGTGTGTGAACTAAGCAGATAAGGATACTTGCTCCTCACTCTTACCCAATTATTTCCTTGACCCACATTTGTAAAGGTTTTTTATTATGCAAATGTATGGATATTCCCAGGAAGCATCTTCCTTTCCTTTTCTTAGAGGCGGCTGGTGAAATCACTTGAGGATCTTTGCTCTCAGTATGACCTGACTGTTAGAAGCTCTACTGGTGACATTGTTCAGTTCATTTACGGAGGAGATGGTTTAGATCCAGCAGCCATGGAAGGGAAGGATGAGCCCTTGGAGTTCAAACGGGTTCTGGACAATATCAGAGTAAGCTTTAATATTTAGGCTTTTTAGCTTTCAGTGATGTGGAGCAGTGCTTGAGCATCCAGGAGAAAAAATCAATAGGATGAATCATTTTAAGGATTTCTTTAAAAGTTTCTGTTTTAATTACTTGCTGGATCAGAATTTATTAATGTACCTGTGTCTGTAAGAGGCCTGTCTAATTATTTTGCTTTTAAATATGAGCAACTAGACCAGTGTATCAACTATGAAGGATATTTTGGGTATTTAAAAAAGATTAGACATCCTCTTATGGCTTGATCCAAAGCTCATTAAAGTCAGTGCTTAACTCTTATTCTGATTAATTGGGCGTTGGATTGGATACTTTCACCATAAATGATTTAATACAATAACTTTGTCGTCTTTCTTGGGACTACTGGATTTCTCAACCCTCAAGACTGTCTAGGTAGGCATAGCATGTCATTTTGTGTAATGTTCAAATAACAGTGTAGTTAATATCTCTTCATTGTTGCAGTATTCATATGTTTTACTCTTGGCTAAGAGAGGATTTTTTCATGGAAAAAGACTTTCAGACTTTGGTGGCTGAGGCATGGTGATTTGAGTAACCAGAAATGCATGGCATGGTAACTTTCCAGTTACACAAATCTGTAATGCTCTTCAGCCAAGCATTGTACATCTTTCTAATCCACTTGGTTTATAGAACTCAAGAAGAATAAATGTATTTCTAAACTATTAAATGTCCTTGTGTATCTGTATATGTAGCAGTAAAACGTGTGTTGTTTTTGCTTAAGGCGGTTTATCCATGTCAGAGTGAACCAGCTCTTAGTAAAAATGAATTGGTATTAACTGCTGAGTCCATCATGAAAAAGAATGAATTCCTCTGCTGCCAAGACAGTTTTTTACAGGTAATGTCTTCTTTCTCTGTTTGCTACATCATTAGTTAATCCCCCTCTCAGGAATTTGGGATAATCCAACTTTTTTAGGATTGATCCAGAGCTCTTTATTAATTTTTTTAGAGGGCCATTTGCAGCAGCAGCTTCTATACTAAACTGTCTTTTAAGATATTTCTTGATACCTTGTTCATGAGTGTGTAACCCCAGCAATTCGATGCCAGTCATTTACTACTTTTGTGTTCCTCTATGAATTTTATATTTGAAAAAATATTTAAAGAAAACAGGGAATGTCTCTGAGCAGGGGCTGAGATCTTTGCATCTCATGTCTTGGAATGTATTAGACCTAATTTTGGCTCTCTGCAAAATTAATTTATGGTAATTATCTACATTGGAAGGATATCGGGGATAGCATAGTACTAATATATACAAATCATTCATTGTGCTGCCTGGAACAAATTTGTACATGGTTTCCAGTAAAGCATTCTGACACGTTAGTGTAATAAAGTTCATAGTAAGTCTCTTAATTTCAGATGTGCAGATCAGAAGAAACTAAATTATAATTCTAATAAGAAAATTCAAATTAAGATTCCTAGATATGGTTACATTATTTTTTAACAGCATCCAGAATTTTCTCTCTGATTTTTGTAAATTCCAATATTATTGCTTTTTTTTCCATTTCATTTTATTGATCCTTGAAGGCCTTAACTGAGACAGGTTATAAAAAGTATAATGAGGTAATTGTATAAGTGTGTGCACTGTGTGAGCCTTAATGTTAGTGCTATATAACTAAAAGTGTTTGTGCAAGAGCTTAAGATAACAAACCGGCATTACTGTGGTGCAAATTCTAATCAAGATTTTCCTTAAGTAACCTTGAGTCCCCATTTTTGGGATCTAACATGATGAAAGAGTCCCTTCCAGCTGAATTTCAAGATCTAGTTGCTTGAGGCTTTATTTTAGCACACTATTTTCCCTTCTCCTCCTCTCCCTCCCTTCTCTAAAATCTGTCCTTTTCAATAAGTAAAGTTCTAAACTCAAATCTACTAACAGTTTAGTATGCTTCAGTACAGGAACTGGAGGATGCTTCTTTATTCTTCATTTCTCATTGAAATGGGGAAAATCTTAAGAGCTCCTGTGAACTTTAAAAATCTTAGTTGTTTATTTTCCCCCTCCATTCCTTCTCCTTTGCGTGCAGAAGACACTTGAGAATAAAGAATAACTATCTTTGGAAATCTGCCCTGTATTCCACAACTTCTTCATTACTTTTTTCTGATATATGAAACAAGCATTTAAGTTGATCACCTAACATTTCTGGCTAGGAGTCTGTATAAAAGGGAACTCTGATAATTTGTATTGAAAAATGCCCAGGCATACAGGTACAATTGAAGTAGTAGGATTCATTTGAAGAATGAGTTATGAAAGCATCTGGTTGGAAATTGAGTTATCCGTGTTTAAGTCCTGGCTCTGTCACAAACTTTCAGGTTGCTATTTCTTGTGATATATTTTTATCGCAAGGATCTTGGTATATGGTTTAATTTTGTAAAATCCCAATTTCCTGGAGGCATGTGATTAGGTGAAACATCTTTGCTTAAAAAAATACAGATAGATATATCTATATTGATATCGAGATATATGTGCATCGATATCTAGATATTTCTCCTAGCTGTGGAGAAAAAGGTTGGAGATATGGGTAAATTCTCAATGATTGCTTTTTAACACTTCATGATTTTTTGATATCTTGCAGACTTCTTACAGAAATTTTGCAATCTCTGTCCTTTACCCCTGTTTTGTAGTAGGGAGACAAAGGCTTTGCTACCCCACTGTTTTGCATCATTTAAGCTTAAAGAGGAATTGATACACTTTGAGTTCTTCTGATGGAAAGGTTCTGTAGCAGTGCTGAAGGGTATAGTACTTGGGATGCATGATTTAGAAAACAGGATATTGCAAACAAAAAATAAGTGTGTGAATATATTAAGGCTTCTAAATGGGTATAAGCTAAAAAACACCCTTTTGTTTCTCCTCTTCCATTTTTGTCCCCGTGTTCCAACTCAGATTTACAGTAATAGACAATATCTGAAAATGCCTTGAATAATGAGCAGAGAACACCAACATGTTAGGACCCTGCAGACTCTTCTGTCATGAACACCACTAACACTAGTTGTGTTGCTTTCAGGAAAAATAAAAATAAATCTATTAGAAAAGGCAGCTACTTCTGGTATTTGCTCAATAGATGGAATAATATTATTATGTTCCCAACTACAGTAGAGATATCATACAGTACTGAAGAGTTTTCATACTCAGAACAGTTTGGATGAACTGTGTGGAATCAGTCCAGTTTCTAGTGGATAAGCATCTACATAAGTTTCCAGTCCAATTAGCAGTTTCTGTAAACAGATAAAGAATTTGAATGAACTGCGAAAAATGAACTGTCTTTTTTGTTTTTCAAAACTGGTACCCTTGGATCATTTTTGACATTTTTTAAATTATGTATTTGCTCCTCAACCAGCTTGCATTGTAATATTGGGCATTGTTTAACATCTTGACAAAAATGGAATGTAAACCCATTTCTTAGCCATTTCAGTTTCACTGACTTTTAAAATACAGAAATATATCAAAAAGGTTTGTTTCAGAGTGGCAGTTTTTTAAAGAAAGAAGTCAATATTTACCTTAGCCACTTGGTTCATTACATTTTGAAGTAATGTTTATTTTATGAACCCCACTTCAGGCTGGTTTTGCATAATTGGCTTGCACTGGGGGTTTTTTGGTTTTTGTTATGTCAAATGCATAATTTTAAAGATCTGCTTCGGTTTCTGCTTCACACAGCTTGCACAAAAACACCAATTGTATGAGCAGAGTAGTGCAGAAGTTACCAGTTGACAAGGGCTAGGCAGAGATTGCTGACTTCTATTAAATTATGAGTTTTAAACAAATCCATAACTAACATTTTGGATCCAAAAAAACAGGTGTCCTTATCACATCCCTCCCTCTCCCACTCCCATGCCATCTGCTACATGCTGCTTGTAACTTAGGTTGTATGTCTTTAAATATTGACTGGAGGAGAAATATAGTAAAGCATTTGTCGTGGCAGGCAGCAAAGCTTATTCATGAATCCAGAAAACTACGGAGATTGAGACATTTGGGCATAATCCTTATTCATATATTTTCACAATGATTTATTTTAAGTGGGACAATAGAAGTTTTCAATGAGGAGGTGATGGTAGCAAGAGAAGGGCTAAGTCAACTCAGCTTTCAAGAAATTTACTGATGAAGGATGACTTGTGCATCTTGGTCCCAATTCCTGATTTATTCCACCTGATATGCATTTACACCAAAGCTAAGCTTGATTTGCTGTTCCCCATGAGTCTTATTAGGTTTGGAGGACTCTTTTATGCCTTGCCAATTTACTTCTGTAAAAGAGTTCTTCACAAGATCTAATCACATAGAGTTTCCTGTGGTCAGGCTGTGATACAAAACGGATTATATTGCTCCTTTATCTCTCTCTGTCTCTCTCTCAACTTTCAGGAGATTAAAAAATTCCTCAAAAGTATTTCTGAAAAGATCAAGAAAACCAGGGACAAGTATGGTATTAATGACAATGGCACAACAGAGGTAACAGACTTTCCAAGAGTAACAGAAACCTTATACTAAATTCTATAATCTCTTGGGCTTCAAACTCACTGTGTTCCTGTTTTGTCCTTTCTTCAGCCACGTGTTTTGTACCAATTGGATCGAATTACCCCAACACAACTAGAGAAGTTTCTAGAGACTTGTAGAGACAAATATATGAGGTTGGAGATCGTGATTTTTTTTTTTTCCTAATAGTGATGTCAATTGTATATTTGCCACTTACTGCATGGCCTAAGCAGAGGGCCTGTAATTGAAGATATTACTATTTTTACACTAGTGTTTCAGGGCCGCCTTGTGCTAAGTGAGTAAAAAATATAGAAAGACATTGATGTTGGCCCAAAGTAAAATAAACATGAAAAATAAAGATTAGGAACTGTAGCAGTTGTTTCCATGTCCCCAGCTATAAAATGGACATGCTAATATTAAATAACTTGCCTATAGCAACCAGATACTACTGGCGGAACCAGAATTTCAAATTGTATTTTTTAAGTCACAATCAAATGCCATAATTCAAATCTATCCTTCTATATTCTGTATGTGTGTGCGCGTGTATATACACACACTCCATCTGTCTGTGTGTTCATAATCCTTTGGGGGAGTGTGGCTCAAGCCAGTGCTGTATCAAGAATACCCATCATGAATGATGGGTAGGGTGGGGCTCCAGCAGAGCAGACCAGGCAGATGCGGAGCTGGGGGGGAGAAAGGGGGGTGGGCAGGGTAGCATGCATGGGACTGGATGCAGAGCAGCAGCATTGCGGGGCCAAGCAGGGGGTGGGGGGAGGGTGGTGCGCAGCCAGATGCAGAGCAGCGGCAGCGTGGGGCGGTGGATGATTTTAATATTTTGCTTCTACTGGATCAGACTTGAAGATTAATCTTTCTGTATTTTCTCTCTAAAAGGCCATCTCCTTAAAATACAGATTGTTTGTTTAGGCTGTTGTATTCCTAGAAATGTAACATTTCCGGAAATTTTGAAGCCATGGAGAGAACTTTTCTTTTCTGTTTTTTTCCAGAAAAAAAACAAACTTCGGGAAAAATTTAAATATATGCAATACTTATTTTCTTAGCGCCGTTTACAGATCTAAATTCACTCTGCTACTTTAAGAACATACAGTGTATTATGTATAACTTGGTTTGCTCATAAAATTATCATGTTTGGTATATTTGTGTGGAACAGAGGCTAGACATGCACTTGGCTGAGGTCATCTAACCCCAGCGCTCTTTCCAGCCCAGGGGAGGATTTCGGACTCTATGATCTACTGAGGTCCTTTCCAACCCAAACCTCTCTGAATTTATTAAATTTAAAAGTATAGTTTAGTCAGACAATTACAAATTTGCTAATTGAATTTACTTTAAAAATGTTTTTAATTTTTGTTACTAATGGAGCTACAAGCTGCTGAACTCTAAGGAACCTAGCATCTCTTAGTTTTTGCCAGTTGATGAGAAGCAGGAAAACATTAAAGTTGAAAATAGAAGAAACCATCAACATTATAATAAAACAAAGAAAGTTATTATGTATTCTGGTCTTAGTCTCCTCCACAGTGTCAAGGAGCTTCAGAAAGCACTCCTTTTTGGAAAAAGAGTTGAGAAAAAAAGGAAAAAAAAAACCCCAGACTCCTTGAATACACATTTTGCTACATGAAACTTTGTCTAATGATTCTCATTTTCTGCACTATCACTGTCAGCAGTTTCATCCTTCATTTTTATCATCTTCATGGACTCCTGAAAACTGAAGGCTTGCCCAGATTGAGACAAGCTTCTCTACTCTTTCACATGTTAGTTTATTACTTGGTTTGGTGTGAGTAGTTCCAAACATAGATGAGTTTCTGTTACATGCTGCAGAAGATGAAGGAATCTGAAATGACAAAAC